CTGCCCTCTTCGAGCCTGTCCTGGGAAGGCACCAGGCATGGCCAGCAGGAGCCACTCAGGGTGCCCACTGGACGCTGGGCTTCTTCCTGTGTCCTCCTCTCCTAGATCAGCCCCACCCGTCACGCTGATGACATGGCTGTTATGAAGGCCTAGAGGCCCATGTCCCGCCCCAGATGAAGCCTCCATTGGACGCAGGGGTCTTCTTTCTCCACCCCACAACTTCTGTCCTCGTCCTCACTGGGCGCCTCAAACCTTTCCTCTGTGAGCGGCTCTCAGATGCCGCGCGAGACAGGACCCACGTGCCCTGGAGCCACCCACCGCGGTGCTCACCAGCTCGTTGGCATGCTTGGACCAGGCGAGGTTGCACACTTGGGAGCCCGTGTCGATGCACTGCAGCGGCTGCCCTGTGAGCGTGTTCCAGAAGCGGATGCAGCGGTCGGCTGTGCCGCCGCCTGATGCCAGCAACCCGTGCTGGTGTGGGGACCAGGCGATGGCCTTTACGGCTGCCAGGTGCTCTGTGTACTGCTGCACGGGGCTCAGGCTTGAGTGGTTCCACACCAGCAGCTGGGGGGCAGCAGCTATGAGGCCCCAGCCCCTCTGTCCCCCTGGAGCACACCCCTGTCACCCTGCTCTATAGGGGGGGACTGGCTGAGCAGAGAGACAGGGTCAGAGCCAGGCCTGATGTGTTGCAGTGTGTGCCTCCCCCGCCCGTCACTGCAGAGTGAGAGCACAGTCCCCACGACACATGTGTTGCACAAGGGGATGGAGACCCAGGCTCTGGCCAGGCACATACCTTGTTGTCATTGCCCCCCGAGGCGAGGAGTTGGTGGTCTGTGGACCACTTTAGTCCGCACACCTCCTGCCGGTGGCCCTGCAGCCGCCGCTCTGACTGCAGGGGAGGGGTGCGGATGTCTCTCTGCAAGATCATGCGGTCCCGGCTCCCAGACGAGAGCTGGTCGGCATTCCAGGCCAGCGCCCCTGAAGGCCAGGGAAGGCAGGTGAGCCTTGCTTGGTCCCTAGGGAGCAGGGGCCGCACCAGCCCGCCGGGACCCAGGACCCCTCACCGACACGCGCCGTGTGGCCTTCTAGCATAGACAGCTTTTTTCCCGCAGCTGCGTCCCAGATCTGTACAAAGCCCTTGTGCGTGCCGACCGCCACCAGGTTCCCCTAGGACCAACAGCATGGTAGAGTGTGGGTGTCAGCCTGGGCTCTGCGGCCCTGGAATCTCTCTCACGAGGGCTTCGAGGCGGGTTCTCTAAACAATCTTTCAGACTCATCCCTTCGGATGAAACCTGGAACTTTCTGGGGTGATGGGCGTGCCTGGATCACAGGGTGTGTGGTTTGTCAAGATCCAGCAGCACATTTAGGATCTGTGTGCGTCAAGATGTGGACAATGTGCATCCTGACACCTGCACTCCACTGCGAAGTGTGTCAAAATGTACAACGATGCAGGGAGGGGGAGGTGGGACAAGGCGAGCCGATTAAGTGCTAAGGCCACCATGGTGGGGGGGTGTGGGCCTCCACTATGACATTCCTTCAATCTTGCTGCTTGGATATTTTCATAATAAAATAAAATGAAACCAAAAACCAACCATCCTTGAATATAAATTGGAATTCCAAAGGAGCTAGAATCACAGGTGGACAAGTCAGCTCCACAGGAACTGCGGGCTTGCTCCCCTCTACTGCCCTGCCTTCCCTTCCAGGGGGCCAGGTGGGTATGAGCGGGCCAGGGGGTACCCACCCTAACCCAAGCTGCTGACACCGGCTGCGGGGCATCTGTGGGGAAGAACCCTGCAAGGGGACCCAAGGCCTCCATTGTCACTGTAACTACCTCGACCAGGAATGTGTTCAGGCTGGTGACAGGTAGGGGTGCAGACCTAGGCTTGGACACAGGTGACCTGAAAGCCACACGCTGGCTTCTTTGGGTCTCTAAGGCCCCCTAACACTGTCGACGGCCCCTCCCTGCAGGGCCATAAGACATGCCTAGTGCACGACTGAGCCATCTGTACTCACCCGCTCAGACCAGCCCACAGAGGTCACAGAGTCCCCTTCCACAGAGAGGTCACAGAGCCGGGTCACCTAGGGTGGAAGGCCAGTGTGAGTGTACGTGCTGCCCGCTGGTCCTTCCAGGCCCTGGTCCGTCCATTCATTCGTTCATTCACTCACTCACTCACTCGACACCCCCGGCCTTGAGGGCAGGGCAGGACAGCTTCGAGGAGCAGAGGCTTGGGTGATGAGTATGTGGTACACAGGGAGTGCTGGAAGCTTCAAGGAGATGCAGAGCCCAGGCTACGGGGCTTGGGGATGGGCCCTCTCTGTGAGCCTCACCTACTCTCTCTCTAACACACTTGCATTCGGTTTTGTCCCTGAACACAACCCCACTAGGTGGGTGGCCCCTTCTGCTACTGTCCACTGACAACCTCAGGCTCCCTTTGGGGACCAGCAGGGCCTTTGTGCCCAACACCCACTCCAGAAGAGTGACCACTTGACCATCAAGGTGCCCCATGCTCAGCCAGGCCCGGATGCCTGTCCCTCCTCTTCTACTGAGATGACAGAGGCTGCAGCTCAGTGGGGACTCCCTGCTGTCAAGGATGCCAGCCCGTGGCTGGGAGGGACAGGGCGGGCACTTGGCTCATACCTGCTGCTTCATCCTGGATCCCCGAAGATTGCTGCAGGCGAGCTGGCCAGGGGCAGGGTGGGAGGGGAAAGGCCAGGCGGGAGCTCCCCCGGCTCTGAAGCCCCCGAGCACACTGCACCCTCCACACGGCACCCCATGCATATGCATGCAAGCCCTGCGCTCAGGGCGCCCACCTGGCTGGTGCATGCGCTCCACAGGTACACACAGGTCCCCAGCCCCACACTGAGCACGTTGAGGGACGACCAGTCCACCAGGTTCAGGTAGAAGTCATCCTGCAGCTCAGGTGCGTCCAGGACCTTGAAGGGGATTTTCGAGATCTTGCGGGTGGGTTTCCGTGGGGACCGTAGTAACTTCTGACTGTAGAGACGGCGATGTGGCACCAATCAGCTGACACGTTTTGTGTTACTTTCTGGCAGATGCACAGAAAGTATCTCCTCCCCTGCCGGCCCCAGGATCCCCGTTTGGCTCCACGTCGTGGTCTCTTGGCTCGTCCTGCCCCTCTGGTCACCTCACCAAGTCATGCCAAAACTGGGGACAACTCCAGGGCTGCTGAGGCCCTTCGCCCTCAGGTGTATAGCCACCCCGGGCCCCACTTCTCCTCCAGGGAGTCCTCCTTGACTCCCTTTTCTCTGGTCTGAGGCCAGCGCTGCCGGGCTATTGTGTCCTCGGTAAGGAGGAGTGCTCTGGGCCACCTCTGTGCCTGGAGCACAATTCTATTACTCTGAGGCTCTATTCATGGCTTCTGAGGGGGGCCAGGTCCTCTCTGCTCCCAATGCCTCCGGCAGAGAACGTGTCCTCACCTCCAAGTCCATCCTCTCCTGGGCAGCCCCAGCTTCTGCCCCCAATCTGCCCGCCCGGAACCCGTCGGGATGGTGCCACTGCCTGAGGAAGCCTGGACTTACCTTTTGTTGCTGACAGGGGACAAGGAGTACGGAGACACGTCGTTGCCATCATCGGGGCTCGAGCGCTTGGTGCTGAGGGAATACTGGGGACCAGGGAACACGTCTGCTGAGTGGACGCTGTGGCCCAGAGCCCGGGAACCTGAGACCCACACCTGGTTACCCTGCGCTCCTAGTAGAGGCAGGTGGGGAGCAGGGCATGTTCCAGCTCCCTGCAGCTCACATGCCACTCACTAGGGCACATGCTGAAAGTGCACCCAGAGGAGTTCTGAACAGGATGAAGCCAGCCAGGCCTTGCACCCGAGATGTCCTCCTGGCAGCAACTGCAGACACTGGCCCCTTCCCTCCCTGCCCCATGGGGCCGCCAGTCCTTCAGCCCCCTCTCTCTCAGGACCCAAGCCAGGCCATCTGACCCTGCCCTCGGGCTCCCTGACCATTTGGAACAGCACAGGAGGTTCGCTGGGGGCCAACTGCTTGTGCCCAGGTTGGGAGGACCCTGGTACTTCCTCCTCTGCCCCAGAAGCTGCGTGCCGGTGGGTCAGCTGAGCACCTGCCACAGGGTCACCCTTGCCCCAGCACGAGTGCAGCATGACTGGCCTGGGTGGTGTTAAATGCAGCCTGGCCTGGTCCTGCCTCCCCCAAGCAAGGGTCCTATTCTCTCTGGTAAATGAAAGGCTGGTGTGGGGGGAAAGGGGGACCTGCAGAGGCTGAGCCTGGATTCTCTGAGCACCCCCATCTCCGAGCCTGCTTACTCACTGGGTACCCCAGCCTCACGGCACTGGAGGACGGGAACCATTGCCTGGCCAGCTGGGAAGAAGCAGGGTCAGGGTGGAGGCTGAGTTGTGGCCAGGGGCAGTGCTCTGATTGGTCCCTGGGGCCTGGGAACCAGGCTGGGGATGGGCAGGTCTGGGCTCCCAGCAGGGCGGCTAGGCAGGGAGGGCGGGCCAGGTCAGCCACAAGGCTCACCGTGAAGAGGCCCTTCTTTTCTGGCGTGGAGGGCTGCAGCCTCCGGTCCTCGGTCTGCGGGTCCTGCACCTTCTCGATGCCGGCTCCCAGCAGCTCGTTCTTCAGCAGGGCTGAGTAGGCCAGGCCGTCTGCGGGCACCAAGCACAGTGAGGCCAGGCAGGGTGGGCGCTGGGGGGAGGGTCCAGGCAGGTTATGACGACTCACCTTTGCCGTTGTCGGAGGTGGCATCCTTGGCTTTCCGGTTCTGGCTGGGAGACTTCTCATTCTCCTGCGGGCGAGGAAGTAAAAGGAGGGGCAGGTGAAGTGCCCAGGTGTTCCAGCGGCCGCGGCAGCCCTGGCAGCTGGGTGGAGTGGCGGCGGCTTGGAGAAGCGGTGCCTGCTGGCCCTGCAGCCCCATCTCCCCACCCCCCCACCCTCAGGCCGCCCCTCACATTGATCCTGTGGAAATTCACGCTCCAGTTGGCCCCGGCTCTCGAGGGGATGAAGCGGTCTCCGTGCTTGCTGGGAGAGGACACCGGGGAATTAGCAGGCGTCAGGGTCCGCCGCATCTCCGAGACCTGGAAGGCAGCAGGGTGGGGCTTGCTCTCGGCTTCAGAGCACCCAGAGTGCCCCCAAAGCCAGCCTCGCCTGTGCCTCCCTGCACTTGGCCTCTGGCTACTGAACAACAGGGGATTCCATCTTGAAAACCAGACAGGCAGAAGTAGTAAAACGTTTTGGTAACTTAGGTGCTAGAAGCCTAACAAGGAGCCCAGGTTTGGCGGACATGGTTGAGCCAGGAGTGACGGCACCCAAGAGCAAGGGCTTGGTGAGAGATGATGTCTTCCCAGAGCAGTGCAGAACGAACGCAGTGCGGCTTATTTCTAATGATCAGAAAGGGACAGAAGCACTGGAAGTACAGGACAAATAAAATTTATTCCCGCAACCACCTGGAAGCCTGCTGCCCCATCCTCCCATTTCCCAAACACAAGGATGTGCCCTCCGACTCCTTGTGATTGTACCAATAATGTCCCTTTTCTATAAGGGATCTGCTCTGAGCTAACCTGTGTCCCCCAAAGGATACACCAAAGTCCTAAGCCCTGATCCCTGGGAATGTGGCCTTATTTGGAAACAGGGTCTTTACAGGAGTAATCCAAGTTGAGATGAAGTCACTAGGGAGGCCTTAAAAGTGTCCTTACAAGAAAGCAAGCCACACAGGGGAGATGGCCATGTGGCGGAGGCAGAGCTGGAGGGATGCAGCCACTACCCAAAGCTGGAAGAGGCAGGAGGGAGCCTCCCCTGGAACCTTTGGAGACAGCCTGGCCCTGCCCACACTTTGATCTTGGACTTCCGGCCTCCAGGATTATGAGAGTAAGTGTCTGTGGGTTAAGCCCCTTATCTGGGGGCCTGTGTGCTGGAGCCCCAGGAAACAAACACAAACTCCATCTTCACTCCCTCTAGGTCTAAAGGTGGTTCCACATGATTAGACCCCGGCCATGCACTCAGCAGGGATGGCACAGGGGACATGCCACAGGCTTCTCTGCATCCCATCATGGGGCCTGGCTTGGCCAGGGTCCATTGGTCACCTCCCAACATGCCGCCCACTCACTTCTCCACTCAGTCACTTAGGACTACAGGGGAATGACAAGCTGTGGGGTGGCAGTTCTTGGACACTGCACAAACCTCCCATCTCAGCAAAATTCCAGCAGGCCACTGACATCACTGCACCTGCACAGACTCCTGGTCCACTTCAGTGGAAGGGCAGCGTCTGCTACCGTGGGTGCTGGGGGCCCATGTGGCCTATGAGCCATGTCTGTGCCTGCACTGCGTCTGAGCAAAGCTTCACTGGGCTTTGAGTCATGGAGACAATGACAGGAGCCTGACATTCCTGTCCCCAGGGGACTCAGCAGTGCAGGGTGGGGGTAAAAGACAAGAGAGCCATGAAGTAGGCGCCAGCCATGAGGGCCAGTGTGGAAAAGCAGGCAGTGGGCCTGTCGTCTGTCCAGAGCCCACAATAGAGAAAGAGAGCAGAGCTAAGCCAGGTGGGGAATGCAGGAGAGGACAGAAAGAGGCCCCCCACACTCCACAGGGCTACAGATGTGCCCTGGGGCAGAGGAGGGACAGGTCTCCTGAAGGGCTTCTCCCCTCTCTGCCCGTCCAGCAAGCCCCGTGGCCCCACAGCCCCCACTCAGCACATGCTGTGGGGCTGGGTCTGACCCTGGCTCTGGGGCTCTGGGTGCCTCACCTTCTCATCCCTTGGGGACCCAGTTCAGCCCTGACTACGGCCAAGGGAAGGGAGGCGGAGGCCGAGTGACTGCCCCAGGCCCTGTGTGGACCTGGGGCTGGAACCTGACAGGTCTGTGGCTCCAGCAGCAGCAGGGCAGGCCTAGCCACACTGGGCGGGCAGTGGCTGCAGCACACTGACCATGCGTCCAGGGGGACTCAACACAGGGGGTGAGCCATAGTCTCCACTGAGGGAAGGCCTGGGCTGATGCCTTTCTTCAAGCACCTGTTCTCCAGCCAGTGGAAACCTCTCTCCCTTCATAAGAGCACAGGGCCGGGCGGGCAGAGGACACTCACACATGGCATCGTGTTCTCATTCTGGATGACGATCTGGCGGAGCAGGCGCCGCTCATAGTCCTGGTCCATGGTCAGGCAGGGCAAGACCCCTGGCCACCGTCAGCCTGCAGTGGGGAGGGCAGGAGAGGTCAGCACCAGTGGCCCCCAAGGGGGTTGTGGTGACCCCAGGGCTGGGTGCGAGGGCAGCCAAGTCCCCATCCCTGTGGAACTGGCTGCCACACTCTCACGCCCTGGAAGCCAGAGTAACACGAAACAGAGATGAACTGGGCTCTTCCTTGGTTCCTCTGCTGGGGACCTTCCACCGGCCCCCACCTTGTCCTGGGCAAGTCTCCCACCTACCTCTGGCACTCGGAGACTTGACCCCACGCCCCCGCTCACTGCCTCCAGAACCCTCCGGCCCACACACCCCATCCCCATCCTCCTGCTTCAGACTGTCCTCCAAGGCCACGCACGCCACTCATGGGGCCATGTCCACGCTCTCTGGTCTCTGCCTGCCCAGGAAGCATGGCTTTCAGCCCTGGAGGGCTCGGGAAGGGGCAGGGAGCTGGGAAAAGTCAAAGCAGTCCCAGCAAGGACCCACACTCTAAGTGTGGCAGCGTCAATGTCCTGACATCCAAGACAGAAACCGCAATCCTGAACCTGCATGTGCAAGAGAGCATGTGTGTGCATTTCAGTGAGCTTCACTTTGGTCCATGGGAGTTGCTGAGAGCTGACTATGTGCCAGGCTGGGCCCAGGGCCAAGCTAGACCAGGTCGTGGCTCAGGGACATCAGGCTGCAGTGTACAATCACACACTCACACCCAGCCACAATGAAGGGAACATTCAGGGGCCCTTTCAGCCCAACCCAATCCAGGAAGGCCTCTCTGAGGAGGTGGCATTTAAGCTGAGGTCTAAAGAAAAGCACAGGTGAGGAGACTGGAAAAAAACATTCTAGAGAGGGGAGAGCAGATTGGCACACCAAGGTGGGAAGGGGCTTGGCACATTCCAGGTCAGAGCGAGGGCCCCTATAGTGATGTGAACAGAAAGGGTTCAAGAAACAGATGCTCTTCCCATCAGGGGTCGGCGAACTATGGCCCAAGGGCCACATCCAGGTACAAAAACACATTACCTGTTT